ATACGAGTAATTGTCTGTTTGATATATCGGCATGATATTAAACTTACCCTGGTTACATTTGAAAATGTGTTGTGATACAAAAAGTTTTCTGTTGTCTGTCAATTTTATATTGCTTTTGTGTAGGGAGACCCTGTTGTTCAGTTGTTGGCCGATGCCTATATATGACTTCTTACATTTTGTGCATTTAAGTGCATAAACTACATTTTTGGAGTTGCAGTTTAAGTTTTTGTTTATTGTGAATGTTTTTTTTTGGGTTTTCAAAAGTGTAGGAGTTTCCTTCTATATACAAATAAGTTTACGAATTCCTCGTAGTAAGGAAATATACGCACGCATATATACACGCATGCTGACAGGAACACGCCAAAATAGAAACAGATCCAAGAGCACATAGAGGTCACTAAAACATTAAAAGATTAAATGCCGATAACTACTCGCTGGACAAACCTTAATTGTTTTATGACCCTTCACGCAGAACTCTTCATTGACAATTCTAGAAAGAAAATTCGGATTGCCAACACACAAACAGAATGTCTCATATCGAGAATATTCCACATTGAACATGAAGAAAAGTTAATTATTTTTAATAATATGTAAAATCTCCACTTTCACCTGAAGACGGTTGAGAGACCAGACCAGAAACACGTGTCGTGAAATTATGTAAAACAAAGTATAATATTTTTTCTCAATAAATCCACATTACAACCAAAAACGTTTGCGGCACCCTCTTCTTTTTTAATATATATATATATATATATATATATATATATATATATATATATATATATATATATATAATTCAGCATAGCTCCACACGACAATTAAAATAATTATATAATTGTTCTGTTATCAGTAAGCGTGGTTGACAGTCATTGGTATCTTTGTAGCGTTTTTGGATTTGTGAATCTGTGTATGCTCTCACTGTCGAATACAGTGAGAGCATACACAGATTCCTAAATCCAAAAAGGAAAAGGAGAAATTAACTGAAATACAAAATCGGTAATCGGTTTTTTCGTAATAAGGAAAAAAAAATCAAAAACTTGAAATGGTAAGTAGCAATAATTGGGTTCCCACACTAATATACACACACGCATATTTTTTAAGGCATTTCACCCCAAGCAAGGCGGGAGTGCCACTAGTACGTAAGGGGTTCCAGGGAGTGTAAGAGAAAAGTCTGGGTACAGTGGGTGAGGAAATGATAAAAAGAAGAACAGAGGAGGATAAAAAGGGAAACAGAATATGTCGATTGACATTACATTTAAAGGTTTGAAGATTATCGTTATCAGGGAAGCAAGTAAGAGGAAGGGTGTTCCACTGTCAGGAAGTGCGAGAGGAGAAGAAGTTGGAGTAGAAGAAGTTGCATTTAACTGTTTCGATTGTAAACGAGTGGGAACATGATTTCAGGCTAGCAGCACGCTTAAATTCATGCAGTCGGGACACCAGCGAAAATAGCTCATCAGAGCAGCTGCCATGAAAATATTTATAGAAAAGACAGTTGGAAGCCACATTACGTCGGTGAGAAAGTGTCTGGAGACAAGACTCCAAGTCAGGACCGATCACTTTGAATTATGTCGAGATGAACAGGGGAGGCGCCAGATTATATTCGGCAACAGTATTCATATGCATGGATGAATGGTAGATACCCATTTTTATAACTTTATTTTTAGTGGATACCCATATTTGAATAGACGTTCAGCCAGTTTCACGCCCTCACTTTCGACCTTGTCCCACAATTATATTTTACATAGAATAAATCTAGACAACAATGAGAAAATAATTAAACAATACGTATAAATGGTCCCCTGTTTTTGCAGAACAATATCACCTAAAACGGGACTAAAGCAGCCAATTTTGCCACGACATAATCCAAAAAAAATATTAAGGGATCTGGTTTGAGAGATTTCAAGAATGAATGTTTAAAATCTCTTCCTGACTTACCAATGGCATCGACAAATGTCAAACTTTTCGTTTCTTATATAAAGTCTTCATGATTTATAACACTTTTACTACTACTAATAATTCTAATAACTATAATAATAATAATATTATAACTATATCAATAATAATAATATTATAATACTATAATGCAATAACAATAATAGATATATTAATAATATAATATAGTATAATAGTACAGTAAGTAATAATAATTATAATATATAACAATAATAACTATATCAATAATAATATTATAATAATATAATGTAATATTAACATATTATAATAATAAATATAATAATATAATAATACAGTAATAATAATTATAATATAATATAATAATGTAATGTAATACAATATTATAATATAGTATAATAATAATATTAATAATAATAATATTAATAATAATAATAATGATAATAATAATAATAATAATAATAATAATATTATTATTATTATTATTAATAATAATAATAA